TCGAGGGCTTATTTGCCCCCTTTCCCTATATTAATACGAGTGGACTAACTCTGACAAGCATTAATATGTTATACATAGTATAATTTTTTGATCAATATGCAAGAAATATACAATTTTGGTTTGCTTCTGTGATGTTTTACTTTGTTGGAGGCGTGGAGTTATGAGCAAGGATATTTGATGATCCAGTTATATTTTGAAAAATAAGATGGTAGATTTATCTTATTACTACTTGACTTTATGTTAATGGCTAGACATTACTAGTATAAGATTATTTCCTTTATCAAGTTCTCTGTTGTCCCTAACCTTTCCTTGTTCCCCATTAGACAATATACTAGTTATTTGCACAATTTGTGTTCCTTTTAAAGATCATTTATTTATATTTGTGGATTGCATGTTAAATGTATATCATATACCTGAAGTCTAGTATGGTTTTCTAATTGTTTTTTTGGTTTTGTTTTGTTATAGTTGTCGGCTTTGGTAAGAAGAGAGGGCCAAACTCATCAGAGAAGTAAATGAAGAACTGAAAATTGTTCTGATTAGTAGTTTGTAATTCAGATGAATGTCCTTTATCTTAAAACATTTTTGAAGTTAACCTGAACCATGGCTTCCTGTGTTTTGTTTCCGTCTTAAGATCATTGTTTTTTGATACTACTACAACTTATTAAGGTTCTTAAACGGTTATTATACTTGTGTTACAATAGTCCTATCTATTATATTGATGAGTTTATTTCTCTATTTTTTGAGCTTTGTGCATTCCCAAATAATTTGAGTTATGGCTGTGTTGAGGTCTTGAGGATTTCTGTTGAGTTATGAAATTATCATCTTTAAATTATCTTCGGAAGCTCTAAACACAAAAATCACAAGGACATGGAAGACAATCACAAGGATTAGCAAGAGTATGGTGTTTTCGTGAAAACAAGATATTATGAAGTGCCTAAAAATTGGATTGAGCAACACTACTCTTACATCCCCATTAACAAATTTGAGATTATACATCAACTCTTCCGGAGTTCCGGTCAGGAATTCTTGACCGGAACCGTCGTCCGAATGACGGCTTTTGGAATTCTTCCTGGGGTATTTTTTCATGAAATTTTTATAACATGTTTTTCGTCAAGTCTAGTTTATCCACAAAAAAATTTAACTAAAAATTCAATCGAGAAGGTCGTCAAATGATTTTTAGAAGATAACCGCGCCCAAAATATATATTTAAAACGCAATTACTACCTCCGTCCCACTAACATTGGGACGGAAAAAGGTGACACGGTTATTAAGAAAAGTGAGTTTATGTGGTTGATATTGAATTGAAAAAGTAAAAATAAAGTAAGAATGATTTAGAGCCACACAAAGATTACCAAATTTGGTATGAGACAATCTTAGTGAGACTTCCTGAAAAGGTAAAATGAGACAATCTTAGCGGGACGGAGGTTGTATCTTTCAAAAATCATTTGTCGAACTTCCCGATTGAATTTTTAGTCGATTTTTTGTGTGGATAAACTGGACTTGATAGGGAACATGCCATAAAAATTTCATGAAAAAGTTCCACCTGGAAGGCAACCAAACGCTACTGTGTCCGGAATTCCGGACATGAACTATTGTCTATATATCATTATCTTCAAGGTTGCTTAGGGGCACAATGATTGATTGTTTGATTCCGGACCAATTAAGAGTATTCACGTCCGGGAGGCTTTGGTGTGTTTCGGAAAATCTTCGTCAAGTTTGGACACAAACTTTGGCTCGGACTCTCGGAGCCTCAACATTAAAATATGATCCCAAAGTTAGGAAAAGGGGCAAAGTAGTCACTATTGTAGGGAACTATGGATAAGAGTGTGAATAAGACACTGACCCTTTTTTACGTGCAAATAACATTAATTTGATAACATAATGGCATTCTAACCACCCATTATAAACTGATGGTAGCAACTAGGGGTGGATCGGGCCCGGTCTGATTTTGGTTTGGGCCTGGGTCTGGCCGGGCTTGGAAGTTTTGGGTAAGGCCCGGGATCGGCCCGAGAGTCTACCAGTTCCGGTTCATTTTTTTTTTTTTTTGTGTTTTGTTATTTATTTCAACCCCCACCTGCCCCATACCCCAACCCCAGACCCCTCGAAAACACCCAGCCCACCTAAACCCAGCCCAAATCCCCCCCCCCCCCCCCCAAAAAAAAAAGGCCCGAACCGGCCGGGCCGGGCCGGTCCACTCTTTTGATGACCCGGAACCGGTTACCCCCTCGGGTCGGGCCTAAGCCTGGAACCGACCGGAACCGGTTTCCCGGGCCGGGCCAGTTCCGCATTAGCGGGCCGGTTCCGGTCCGGGCGGCCCGAACCGAGTCCATGCCCAGTAGCAACTAGCAACAAAATTGCTAGGTTGATATGTTTGCAGACTATTGACTGTATTAAATGTGTATTTTACTAAAGTATTGTTTTAAGAGAAATTAATTTAATTATAAGATGGAAATTTGAAATTTGATGTATACAAATTAGTTTGATAAAAATTCATATATTAGGGGACATTAGTTTATAATTATAATGCTAATCCAACAAGAATGTTTTTTATTAGACCGAAATTTTGTGGTCTTGTCTGATATGGGCTAATCCGATATGTCTAAGTCTGGTTTAATCTAGTGTGGTATGATAGATGGTTGCTTTATGGGCTCGTTTGGTAGTTTACATGTTAAATCTTTGCACGCGAAGTGATTAGATGCAAAGTATAGAGAATCAATCATTTTGCACGTAAAATAGATTACATTGTTTGGCTAAATGTGTAATAATTTTTAAATTGCACGCAAAGCCGTTGCAGTGCTTCATAAAAGACATGCAAAATATTTTACCACCCTTCTCCGTCCACCCATGTAATATACTTTACATGGTACAGTGTGAAATGTTTTAAAAAAGTGCCTTACAGTTTACATTAAATAATCAAACCAAACAATGCAAACATTTTACGTCCTTACACTTCGCATACAATGTAATTATGTTACTTACTTTAGTAAAATACACATTTAATACCCGTTAATCAGACTAGACTCCAAAAGATTTGATTAGATTTTTTTTTGAATTTTTACATAAGCAATATTGATGTCATATGAAAGAACATACAAATTTATTTAATTTGGTATATCTTTGTAAAATATGAATCAAAAATGAAAATTTATAACATTTTATAAAAATAATAACTGATGTCATACGACTAATCACCTATGTAGCACCGATACCGATACGCGGAAACGCGGAAACGGGTACGGGGATACGTCAAAACAAAAAAAAGTAGGATACGGATACGGGGCCATATTTATAAATATTAAAAGTTATGGGTGTGTGTTTACAAATATTAAAAGTTATAGGGGTCTATTTATAAATATTAAAAATAGATTTTTTTGAATATATATATATATATATATATATATATATATATATATATATATATATATATAGGGAACTCTTCCAGTAAGGTATACCTTATATATATATATATATATATATATATATATATATATATATATATATATATATATATATATATATATAGGGGAAAGATCAAGTACAAAGTGTGCTTATTGTGCAAATATTTGTACGATGCACCTTGACGTTATTTGCATTGCATATTGAGGTTCAAAGTATTGCACATTATAAAGTCATAAAAATAGCAGTTGCACATTAAGGTGCAACGAGTTGCACCCTAAAAAGTTGAGTTTTATTACAAAAATGCCACCTTGCCTTTATGTCCTTTGGATCAACTCATCGGACGGTCAAGATGAGTTTGTACTTTGTAAATTAAGAAGGCTTTGTATTTGATCTCTATTCTATATATATATATATATATATATATATATATATATATATATATATATATATATATATATATATATATAGGGAACTCTTCCAGTAAGGTATACCTTACCGGAGCCGCCGTGCGGCCTCCACGTGTTGAGGGCCTTCCCGGTGGAATTTTTCGATGAAATTTTTTGAGCATGTTCTTCATCAAGTCTAGTACATCCATACCCAATGTCAGCAAAAAATTCAACCGGGAAGGCATTCAAATGATTTTTGGAAGATAACTGCAACCTTTATATACATATAAAACGAAGTTATCTTCCAAAAATCGTTTGACTGCCTTCCCGATTGCATTTTTTGCTGAAATTTGGTATGGATGTACTAGATTTGATGAAGAACATGCTCAAAAAATTTCATCTAAAAATTCCACCGGGAAGGCCCTCAAAACGTGGAGGCTGCACGGTGGCTCCGGTAAGGTATACCTTACCGGAAGTTTTTCCTATATATATATATATATATATATATATATATTTATATATATACATCTAATATCCTATGATGTCTACTCATTCATTGCATTGAAGCATTTTCCTTTTTCAAGATACTTAGTAATAAATTCAGAATATTTCTCATATACACTAGTGTATCTCGAAATATAAATGTACTCAATAAGTCATTAATTTAAAATGAGAAATAAGTCTAACAACTACAATCTTGAAATTAAAAGTGCAAGTACGTACCCAATTCGGAGTATGAGTTAATGACTTAATTCGGATATAGTCATATAGGCCCATTATTTGATTACAAAGTAAAATGTAGTTTTAGATTTTTATTTTTTTAGAATTTTATTAAGTAAATTTTGGGATTTTTTTTAAAAAAAGTTCATACGGGTATCCGTCAGGATACGAGTATCGGAAACTTTCAAAAAATTACAAAAAAAAAGTGGAAACTTTTAAAAATTGCAGATACGGCCCGGGAACGTACGGTACGGGTATCCTAGAGTATCAGATACGGGAACGTATCGGATACGCCGATACGCTACCCTAGGGAAGTATCCGTGCTTCATAGCTAATCACAAATGCAATTGATTAGAATGGATGGATGGGCTGTACGTGGCGTGTAAACTTCTATTAACCTGCCGTAGTTATAATTTTAAATTTTAATCAAATTAAATCCAATTAAATAATTATTGCGCCAATCTAAGCAACACCCATAATTATTCCAGAGTCCTACTTAACAAGAGTTACGTCACTCCCAACCCTCTATAACATGGATCTGCCCTAATTCATCATCATAATATACACTCGTATCTCCTCTCAAGAATAATTAACGTTGATTAAATTTAGTAGACGCATAATTAATACTATGTATTATATCGGACGAATGAAATAAAACCCTTAAATTCGTTCCTGCGTATCTTGAAGAAGCAGAGAATTGAAGATGTTCTCACGGATTTTCGGGAATAAACCGAATAAGAACGCTCAAAAGGAAGGCAGTCTTACTACGATTGTTAAATTAACCGAGGTAATTAAGTACATCATCATATATACTCAACTGGTTATTGTATATATAAATTGCTTGTTTATTTGGTATCTATTTTCTACTTCAATATGAAGACACTGACGATGCTGGAGAAGAAGGAGAGTCTACTCCAAAAGAAGGCATCTGAAGAATTTGAAAGGGCAAAAGAGTTCGCAAGAATTAAGAACATGAGAGGTATTTGGTGTAATCTTGTCATGTGGATGGATATACATTGCTCCTTATATTATACGAGTATTTGTTCTTTTTTTTTTTTTTAATGTTTTATGATATATGTGTTGTTTTATTTGATCTTTGTTGTTTAATTTATACTTCGTATATAATTTCCAGAAACGTTAAGTGATTCTTAGACATAGAGATATTTGACCTTGCACTCATTTTTGTGGGATATTAAACTTTATATGTGCACTCAATCTTGATATGAAGAGTAATCCAAAATGTTATATGATATTTTATTGTTTAATGACTTTCCATTATCAGACAAATAATTTAACAATTTCATGAGTTTTTCTTCAAAAAAAAATTCATGAGTTTTCGCCTGAGAGGTGCATTGGTACACACACCAATTTTCTTAAAACAAAGTACAAAGTCTAATACTATCTATAATTCAAAATTAGGGTGCAAGATCATATTTTCCCATGTTTCTTCCATTCACAAATTTAATTCCCATTTTTTTATATGGTGCACCTAAATAAATTTGCATAAAAGCACACAACGTGTCACAACTGGAATTATGGTTCTAGGCAGGATGAGATCGTTTCGAAGCTTAGAAATTATTTCGATAGATCACAAATCCATAATTACAGTTAGTTTTTGAAGTCTTAGAAAACCTTGCTACTTGTTGGGGATTTTAATGAAATTTAGCACGTAAAAAAATAAATTAAGGACTACCAATTAGGTTAGTGTGCACAATATAGAAGAAAATGTACATCAACAATAGAGCTAATGTACATTTTTCTCGATGTCAACGCTTTGATTTCTAGACTATGAGCGAGCACACTTGACATTTACCATATTTTTTCTTATTTATAACTAAATCCCATATATATTATGCATAGTAGTGTATTATATTTGTCTCAAAATTTTCAAAATATCCTCTTTCTATACAATTTTAAATTTTTACTAATATACGCATGCGCGCCGCAGTTATTTTTATTCATGATCCAACTCTTATACGGAGTATATACGTAGTATCTGGCAAATGTGAAAGTTGTATTTTCATAAATGATAAAGGTAAATACTCCGTATAACGTAGTGCAAAAAGTAGATAAACACGTAATTGGTCAAGTCCATCATCACACCATAAACTATAACGATAAGAGAGCTTAGATGTGTTTTTTATTTGCACAAGTCACTACATTCTAATGATTTTAGTTGGACTAATTTGTGTCGTCCCAAACCATTTTTTTTTTCTCCCAAACCAAATTATATTAAATCAGATTGAATCAAACAAATGAAATCATATCAGATCAAATCAAATTAGACTTTGACAATTGTAAGATACACATAGAATAAGCATGTATCATATTAGACAAATTATAATAAGATCATGCTTAAACGGACAAAATAAAACCAAACCACAACAGACCAAAAAACTCCAAATATAAACATCCGAATTCTTTATTATATCAATGATTTATACAATCTCTTAACTGTATGTTGGGAATACTCCGGAAATAGAAGTAAAAACATTTCAAAAATTCAAAATAAAAGTGACATATTTCCCCCAAAATAGAACTATATTTTAGTTATTTTGGAAATTTACTAGTTTTGACATTATCAAGTGTTAAACATAGTAGTATGCTACCGAAAATGATAATATTTTCAAAATTTGACAGTAATTATTCTCATTCACAGAATAAAAATATAGCACTAATTTTTTGGAATTTTCAAATGTTTTTACTCCAGTTTAGGCCACTTTCTTTTATTTGTATGTTTAGTACAACACTTTGAATAGGTTTGAATCTTTCGAGTGTTGATTACAATTTCAATTAGTCGCAGCACTTCAATACACTGAACAAGGCTAAATCAAATGGTCAATTTTTCGTAAACTACTCCGTACAATCTTCTCGTTTAGAAACTCTTCAATTTTCAAAAGTTCCTCAAAAAAAATATTAGACCACACACAAAACTACACTATTTATTTGTAATCAAGCCATCGCGGAAGATATAATCTTATCATTTGTTTGTTCATGCAGCGGCAAAACAATGCTTGAAAAGGAAAAGACTATATGAGCAGCAAATTGAGCAGTTGGGGAATTTCCAGTTGCGCATCCATGATCAGGTTGTCTATTCGGATATATAGAGATTTATAAAAAGTGTACAAAGAGGTATCAAAACGGTCATTTAGTTTATTAACATGGGATATTATTATCTACTAGTATGTTTTTTGTTGGACCTATTTCAATCCAAAGCATACTAGATCTAACTACACCAATTCAGACCGGAATAGTTCGGACCAGACCAATTCAGAACAGATTAGATCAGACTTTGACAATTGTAAAATACAATGAGATTGTAAAATACAAAGGAGACCAAACTAGACTGAAAAATTTCACTCTAAGTAAAAAGGATTATTACCACATGATCAATCCGCATAAAAGGATTATTACCATATGCTTAACAAGTGAACATATATTTACATCCATCGATTTGCTTTCAGATGATAATGATAGAAGGAGCAAAAGCCACGTCTGAAACAGTTGAGGCCCTTAGAACTGGTGCTGCTGCAATGAGATCTATCCACAAAACAATGTGAGCATCTTCATAGTTATGGCACCCTATATTCGGTTTATCAAAAGTGTATCAAATTTAGAAGACAATTTTTTTTAAGACAATTTACTTTTGATCAAAGGGACACTACAAAAAAAATGACGGGATTGACACGGATTTGACATTGATTTACTGAAAATTTCATGCCAAATAGCTCGTGCTCAACTGTTTTTGGCACGAATTTGACATATTCCTGCCAAAATCATTGTCAATTTTGGAAAATTCCTTTAAAATATCTCTGCCAGGCCAATCCTCAGTCACAAGACATTTACAACTTGGTGTGTACAAACGGACTTTTAGTGGTGTGTATTTGTAACTTCATTTTGAGATGCGTGAACTTCATTTTTTTTGGGTGAATGAAGGAATGTGAATAATGTGGACAAGACAATTGAAGAAATAACTCAACAGACGGAGGACACAAGGCAGATACAGGAAGCATTGGCTGTTCCCTTCAGTGACTTTGATGAGGTTCTCCTTATATATACACATGCCCTTTTTAAATTTTTAACATTTTCTACATAAGTTGTGCAAATATCTATATAGTAGTATATATGACAATGATTTACGATCAAATGAGAATCGTGTTTAACGTGTCAATCATGAGAACACCACTTTTAAGTCAATTAGATACACTATAACGTTTGTATGTTACACTTTTTTGTATTGATAAAATATTTACGAATTTGCCTCATATTTATTTAATGTTTTCATGTGTTGAAAAAATATAACTTTCATGATGATGTACTCATAGTGACATTAATCATATTCTGATCGTATCATTTCGGAAATATTTAAGAAAACTCTGATACAAATGTTCATTCACATATTTCTTTCTATCTGTGTTTTCATATTCTAGGATGAATTGGAGGCGGAACTTGAAGAACTAGAAAGTGCTGGACTTGAAGATGAGCTTCTTCAGCCAGCAAACATCGGCCATACTGCTCCACCGCGTATACCAACCACTAGACATTCAACCAGGCCTTCTAAAGTCGATCTCCGAAATGACAAGGATGAAGAAGAAGAAATTGTTGCATTGCAGAAAGCAATGGCTCTTTAGACTTGGCCTTTTTGTGTTATCTTAACGTCTACTTGGGATCCAAACACTTTTGGTGTAACTGTAAGCTATTAGTGGAGCAGAGTTTTGGTCTTTTTTGGTAAACAGCGGTTAGGAGGTTGTGTTAGCGATTTTGACCGGCGGATTGATCTGATGTTTTAACTCATTTTTAAAAGATGGTTTAAAAATGTTTAGCTAATTAGCGGTTTGGATATTGCTGCTTCTACATAAAATAACATATAAGGGCTCCTCTTCAATTAAAAAAATTCCCCAAAATTTGATAGCAAACCAATTACAAAAGGGACATAATGACACCAAAGAGGCAACTATAATTACCGCTTTATAACTCCATTTAGAAAAACAATTATTTTTGTAAGTATTTTTGTTTAATTTAAAACTAGGAGGCTAAGAAATGAGTAAATATTGAAATAGAAGAGTTTTCTCCTAAAATATTATTAACAAAAAATTATTGATAAAATGTAACTTATTAACTTTTAATAACTACAATTTTGATCAAACTTTCCACCGTAGTGGTTATGTATTATGATCACTAAAGATTATTATGTCACATTTCTGTCCAGTACTATTATTTTCATCATATATTAGAAAATATTTCATAGAAATAAGTTTTTTTTTCAAGTATATATAAGGAATTAATCCATTGTGTGACAGAAATTGAAAGAGTTTTTTTAATATAAAAAGTTAAAGAATGAATGTGATATATTTGTGATTTTAAGGGATGCATTAAATTGATACGTAGTAATTTTTATATATATTTTTTCCCACTTCCAAACTTGTAAGATAATATCTGGCACTCGATAGTGGAAAAAAGCTGCACTCTCTCATTACTTGCAAATATATTTGCTGTTTCAGTTCAGTAATTTTAATTGTGTCTGATATTAGACTTTTAGTTTTACTCATTTGCAATACGATTTTATGAATAATAAATTTGTTTATATTAAGGACACTTCTACACGGAGTATTACACATTCCGGACAGGAAAAGTCCTCACTGATGTCTCATTTTTGTGAGTAAAAGTATATTCTTGTGGAAAAATTAGTAATTACATGATGAAATTTGCGATAAGTAAAGTTACAGAATGAAAAATAGACACATACATAAATTACATGATATTAGGAGCATCAATGTTTATGTATTTAAGTTTGTTTAAATATTCGTTGAGTCTATTAAAAAGTCATATAGAGGTATCCTATTTAAGTAGTATGGATTGAACATTTTTAACTATTCGTCCTTTTTAATTGCAGAGTAGTTTGGCACTTCTGTGGTGTACAAGATCCCACCAAGTTTAATTATACGTCGCCGCGGCCAATGTGGTTATAAATGAGTCTCAAGTACAATTTTGAAACATTTCATTGTAGACAATAATCCAACTAAGACAGCTCTAGTAGATAATGTTTTCATGTCACAAGTACTCTTTAAACAATTTAGGGGTGTTTGAAATTGATTATGCTTCTTTTTTAAAGCAGAAGCAAAATCAAAATCAGTTTTCAGAAGCTGGTCTTCCACAGCTTCTCAAAAAACCGATTCTGAGAGTAAATTAGAACATCAGAATTACTTCTGCACTTTCACTCAAACACTCCAACTTCTGCTTATGCTCTCTGAAAGAGCAGAAGCAGTTTTAAGAATCAGATCCAAACACCCCTTATTTTTTAAAAATGAAGAGACACCTCTAGTAGAAGCATGTGCCTCATGCCATTGAACCAACATGCAATGCAATTGTGACCAAACTAGTCACATGATATATGAATTAATGAATAGCTTATGCCTGCATCCTAGATTCCTAGCTCAATTTAACCATCCACGTGGTACTTAAATAAATCCTATAATTCCCAACACATATTAATGCATCTTCAATGCTTTAGTGCTACTCCTCCTTGTGTTTATTGTCAATTGTTCCATTAGGCTTTCGTATAGTAATAATGTAATAAAATTGTTTAATTATGTTATGAATATTGAATAATATACAGACGTGACTACGTGAGTTATCATTTTAGAGGTGACGAGTTTTCACATAATGATACATTAATTTAGGACAAAAATAAGTGACACACAATTACATCGTATCACGTTGAATGCTTGCGGTGTGTACGCACTAACAGGATCAAATGTTAACAATGATAAGTTTATTGTTTACATTTGTATTATTAAAAAATTAGTCAAAACGTACATTTAGTCCCAATCAAAAGGGTGTATTTGGTTTGTCCTGTTTTGAAAGAAAAACTGATTCAAAGATACAAATTAGCTGTGTTTTCACTTGGGAGACACGTTCTAGTTTAATATGGTTTGATTCGATCTAACTTGGTTTGCTTAAATTTGATCTGGTGATAGTGTGTTTAAATTTGATCTTATGTGAAAATACATTATATTATGTGCATGTTACTAGATCTACATCTAATTGGATCTAATTTGACTTGACATGTAAATTTTACGGAGTATATTTTATGTTTAATATGATATGGTGAGAGACTGATATCAAATATCAAATAAAGTAAAAAAACATAATAAAAGTCAAGGTCAAAATTCTTTTATTTTTAAATCACTATTTCTAATAATTTCCTATCTTACCTAACCTTTAAAAAAGACTATTCTTCTTAAATACATACGGTCATACCCAAAGAATTGGTTTCGCTTTGAACGTTTACTATCTTGTCCAATTGTCTTGTCTTCTAAGTATATAAGATTTTGTCTAATATCATGTCTTACATTTATCACTCCTTTCTTATTTAAACCAAGTGATCATAAGCCCCTGAATTCTTGAGAGAAGTAAATACAAGTCGTTTGAATAATCTGATAGGTTCCCAAAACTCATATATACACCGCTATATGCATATGAATATGCTCTTAGGTGGGAATGTGGGATGTTTGATGCGAGAAGAAACACTTATTGCAAGCTAGTTTCGGGGTTAACCAAGCATTCCAACCCAGCTGATTGTGAGGTTATCGTGCCTAGTGGGAGGTCTCGAGTTCGAATTTCGCTAGGCACATAAGGGTTGGAAACTCAATGAAGTGAGTTTCAACCCTGATTACTCCAGGATTCCTCCAGACCCCCTCCCCCAGACCTCCCAGGAGTAAAAAAAAAGCTAGTGTCAGGGTTAGAAAATCATCATTTGAGAAAATCCTCCCAAATTTACATCTTTAGATATTTGAACCAAAAATTTCTTATATGGGAAGAATATTGAGTGTGGAATGTGATCTGCTTGAATTACTCTCACTTCTCTATATCTATCATTTTACTGCTCATCTGGATAGTTAACTGTTTGGTTTTTAACTTTGCCAGGAGCTTATGCCGTTTCACAATTTTGCCTAATGTAGTGCTCTAATAGTCTAATCAAGTATTCCCTCCGTCCCATTTTGGATGTCCTACTTTTCTTTTTGGGTTGTCCCAAAATGAATGTCTTATTTCCTTTTTTGGCAAAAAATATGTGGTTCTTATCATTTCACTTTATTCTACTCAAATCTCAACCACAACTTTTACTTTTCAACCACTTTATTAATAAGCGTGCCAAATTGAAAGTGGACCACCAATATGGGATGGAGGTAGTAATTATTATGTGACATTGTTCATATTCGATTTTGAGTTTAGTTTTACTTATTCAAATATTGTGAAAGAGACACTTTTCATCATCTAACATTCTAACTATTGTAAAGTGACATTTTTTGTTTTTAAAAATTGGATATGTTAGTGGAATAGTAGAACATGATTGTCAGTCACTACACGATCATAGTGACATTTGTAAACAACCATGTATTTTCATAAAATCACAATGAAATAAAATCACAATGAAAGAATTAAATATGAAAAGTTTCAAAAAAAAAGGATTAAGATTATCTTTGTCACAATATTCAAATTCAAATAACTAAAAGTGGTAAACTTCAAAATGGATTATCAAACATGTCACTGATATAATGCTCAGAAGATTAAAAATAACAAAAATCTTTTGCGTATGGATATATTATTGGAATAGGTTTTGGAACTCAACAAATACATTAGTACTACGTATAATTTTTATATAATGTTAACTTTTATGACAGTACTATAATATATAGTTGAACATTTTTAATTGAAAATGTACTTCCTATTAGTCAATTATGGTAGGCATAACTAACAAACCAATTTCGAATGGAGGTAGCAAGTAATTTCTACCTCTCTTTTCGTTTAGCTGCAAGATTTTGAAATTTACATCTATTATACATGAAGTCATGAATGACTGGCTTAGTAATATATTTAATTAGCTAGTTGTAAAATTATAAAATATCATATTTTGGAATTTTCATTATGAGCTACTTATTACGGAGTAATATTTTTCATAATATTTAGTGGTGAATTAGCACAAACATGAGGCAAATAATGTGAAGCGAACAAACATATACGGAGTAAAGAACTACCATAATGAACTCAAGATATTAGGAGGGATGGAAACAGAATATGATGGTTTTTATACAAAGAACTACCATAATAACAGCCAAAGCCAATTGAATTACAAATATGGATCAATGAATCATGTATGTAATAGCTAAAGCCAGCAGCATAAGAAGATATGCTATTCCTTGATCAATTGCTACCCCTGCAAATTCATATCAATTTGGTCGGGTTAGGCGCCAAAACACATAGTAATCTCCATAAGTTTAAGGCCTAACAAATTTCAAATCCTTATCATACTTTCAGATAACCCCAAGTTCAAAGACAAATACTATGTACAAAGAAACAAATCCCAAATTGTGGGTTTAGGGTCTATTTGGTACGCCTAACAAGGCTGAAAAGTCCAATAAGGCATAAATTACACCAAACACGGCTTATATGGTTTTCTTGCTTCGGCTTAAGGCTTTTTCATCCAAAGATGTAACAACAAAGCTACTTCTTTTGATGAAATTTAGTTAAGTTACACATATAGTCTATTCAAGAATACAATTTTAACCCTTTATACTTGGTGTGCATACATAATCATATACTCAATCAACTGTTTCAGCTAAAACAATTAACGAACACTTCCGGGGCATAAATTTCGGCTACTTAATAAATTTTACGCTTTAAAACAGCCAAACCAAAGATGAAATTTGCAATGGAGGAGTAAATCAAAAGTGACCTACAAATGTATGCCCAAAATTAGCCTTTGTATCATGCCTAAACAGATCCTAAGTTACTTGGTATGACATCAACATTTAGAATTTTAGACCAAATAATAAGGCCAGAAAGATTTAAATTTTCATGATGTAACTCTTCACAAGATAACCTC